AGTAAGATCTGATTTTGAAATGTAAAAAGAAGGTTATCCTTTCTTGTTTTTATACCACCTGAAACCCATTTGACTTACCACATTTGATTCTTGGAGACGTTTATGTTCAAGTTTCTGTCAAAGCAATCTATTATTCTTGTTTTCACCTGATGGATCACAGAGAAAAATAATGGATTCAGTTATGAGAAGCAGTAATAGATTTTTTTTAACTGACATAAATTTCTTTCCTTGTATAGAATAAAAGGATCAGGAAAAGATAAGTTGAATTTTCCTACAATGAGCCAGTTCTTGTTAAATCTGCCTCCCATAAATTGTAGCAAAGCACTCTCTGTGTAATGTTTTATTTATGTAATTCAGTTATTTGGAGGTGGTGGTGAGGGAAGTGAGTGCATCATTTCATGTGGTATTTCAAATCTATTTTGGCAAAAACCTAAGAATTTTTATAATAGAACAAATTCAAAATTCTATTAGGCCTCTTTTAAGAAGGTAGGAAGGAAAAAGGTTTACTTTGTCTAGAGTTAAAAGATGCACAGAGTGCAACTTCTAATAGTTTTGGAACCTGAATATTGTGTCATCAAAAACAAAGATAGTCTAAGTGACCAGCAATCTGCAAGCTGGGCTTTGGCAAAGGGTCATCTTAGAGGACACCGAAGAACAAGCCAAGGGGAAATATCAGGCTTGGCCGATTCACTCACACTTTGCTCACAATGTGTGTCTGTGTAGTGACTGCATGGATGACTGAACCATAAGGGGCCCAAATGTTTTCCACTCTAAAGACCCAACAGGAACCACTGCCCTTGGAAGGATATGGACTGTCACCCAGCTGGTGTTTCCCAGAGGAAGCAGAGCTCAGCTGTGATCCATGGCTTTGCCAAGCATATGCCCTATCTGCAGTAATGTTTTCCCTGGTGTAATTGAGCACACGGTTTCTGGTCCAAATGGCCTGGCTGGTAGTGTGTTTTGTGGTGACTTTTCAGAACTCTGCAAAGATATTTTATGTGACTACAATGGTGATAATTTGGATATATATTCAGATTGTGTCATTCTGTTCTTCCAGTGAGAAAGGTCACTTTTTAAAAGAAGTAAATGAGGTTTGTATATATGGGCATTGGAATTGCCAGTGGATTCATCTGGAAATGTTCCGTTCTTATATTTCCTGGCATCGTTTAAGAGAAGTTTTGGTCTATAATCTTCAATATGATCCGAAAATTCTGTGAAGTAGGATTTTTAAAAAAGCTTCGAAGTTTGGTGGAGGATATTTACAAATCTTTTAAATCCATGACCCTAGGAATATTTTAATTTTCACAGTGTCATCCTTTCACTGCCCACATTGCCCCATTAAACTCCTTCAGACTTTCTTTTTTTCTATTAAGGAACTGATGGTAAATCTCTTAAATTATTTATTATATCTAGAAATGAGCTGGAGAATAAAATAGTATAGAAACCCTGAATTTCAGAGCCTTTACAAGTTTAAGTTGCACTCAGATGACTCTATCTACATAGGAGTTACAAGATTAAGTTCTAAGGAAAGCGACACCCAATTATTTCCATTTACTCTTCTTGCCTGGGTGGTAATCTATTAGTCATCTAAAGCAACAGACTTCAATGTAACATCTTTTGTATCTTCATGGAAAATCATCAGCTCTTCCAGAAAAGGGTAGCAAATCTCAATGTGCCTTAAGTACCTAGTTATATGTATTGCTGTGCAAATCATATAACATAAAATCATAATATAACATAATAAACATGAAATTGTATGTTAGGGAGAAATGGTTAAAAGCAACTAAAATTGCTTGGTTTGGAAGAAGCTAAACACTGCCTGGTAATAATTTCTTGAGATTTTAGAACAGAGGCTTTAATTATACTATTTGTGATGCATAAAGTTGCTTGATATTAGCCAAATGATACGTAATTTTCATGGTCCACACAATTCCAGGGTAAAAGATGTCATAGTTTTTAATAATTTTTCAAAATCTACATTTAATTATAGAATCAGAAAGTGGGAAACACAGTGGATTAGCCAGATGAGTATACTTTAAAGGTGCCACAGTGAGATTTTTGTCTCTAAAAAACGTGTATTTCTATATTGTACCCTTTAGCAATGTTTATGATGTTTATGTTGTACAATTACATGTGAATGTATAGTATCATGATTAATTTATACATACAGCAAAAAAGATTAAAAAAGACCTATTTTAATCGTGCCACTTGTTACAGTGTTATTATTTACGTTGGTTCAAGTGCAACCATTTAATTTTTCTATAAAAACCTCTGTTTCTGGGTTCTTCAAAACACTAAGGCAAAGACTTTTCTTGAAAATATGTTTTACCCTAAGTGTTCTGTCTTCGTTCACACTGGATTTATTTATTACGCTAGTTATTGTAAACTGATTATTTTGAACTTGACTTGTAAAAATTGACTTCACGGTTTCGGAGATCATGTTGGTTATGAACCCAACAATACAAATTTAGTGTATTTCACAGCAAGTAAAATGTTTCCTCAGTTGACTGCATTAAAAGAATTTACATTCGTGTGATGGGGAAAGTAAATCTGTGAACCCTGGGAATGTGAGCTTGCCTATGCCATGTGTTCACTGCAGGTCAGCTGCTTCACGTCAACTTCCACAGAAACCCAAGCAAACAGAGAGACTACTATGTCTTACGTTGGTGGTTGCTCTGGCAGTG